GTCAGCACAGAGCCCGATGTGGGGCTTGAACTCACAAACTACGAGATCATGACCTGAGCCAAAGTCCAACACTTAACTGAGCCACCCAGGCACCTGCTCATGCTCTCTCTCTCTCTCAAAAATAAATAAATATTAAAACACACACACACACAAAAAGCATTCAAGAAAGCATTATAATAAAGTCCAAAGTTTTGCTTCAGAATGATAAATAGTCAAGATAGTCATTTTTTCTGGGGAGGGAAAAGAGTGGAATTAGACATGATACATAGGGAATTTCGAAGCAAGTTTAATAAAATGTAGGCTTTGATGTAGCTGTGTAATAGCTGCTTGGGTGTTCTGTGGGCTTGAATATTTCAGAAAGCACTTGTAAAATGAAGCATAGAATCTTGTGAAGCCTTAAGTTTTGTGTCTCTAACAGTCTTCAAACTGAGGCTTAGAGAGGAATTGAATAGTAGTGGTTTTTAGAGAACCTTAAGAGGTTTTAAGTGGTCCTTCAGAGGGTAGGGTAGGGAGAACCAATTAGGCACAACTATGTCTTTCATTTGCTTATGTTAAGCTAATATTTTTGCATGGTTAATTTACTCAAAGTTGGAACATGCTGTTGTAGACTAGAAAGTCTGATATTTTGAACCTTATGTCTTTTTTTTTAAGTTTTTCTTTTTTTTTTTTAAAGTTTGTTTATTTATTTAAATAATGTCTATTCCCAACGTGGGGCTTAAACTCATGACCCTGAGATCAAGAGTTGTGTGCTCTTCCGACTAAACCAACCAGGAGCCCCAAATCTTAGAAATATTATGATTTTAGAAACATACTTTCTTTGCATCTAAGATGTTTATATGCTTGCTAACATATGGATTTATGAGTTTTGTAGATGTAAGGTGAATTATCACTGACTTTTAACAGACATTTACTACAAATTATGCTTGATAGCATATTATCTTCTTTTATAGTCTTTTTTATTTTTATTTTTTTTTCAACGTTTTTATTTATTTTTGGTACAGAGAGAGAGCATGAACGGGGGAGGGGCAGAGAGAGAGGGAGACACAGAATCGGAAGCAGGCTCCAGGCTCTGAGCCATCAGCCCAGAGCCTGACGCGGGGCTCGAACTCACGGACCGCGAGATCGTGACCTGGCTGAAGTCGGACGCTTAACCGACTGCGCCACCCAGGCGCCCCGTATAGTCTTTTTTTAAAAAAAAATTTTTTTAAAGTAAGCTCTGTGCCCAGCGTGGGGCTTGAAGTCATGACCCAAAGATCAAGAGTTGCATGCTTTACCGGCTGAGCCAGCAAGCTGCCCCGATCTTGTTTTATATTCTTGATTTTTATTTACTTTATGATTTTAACTAAATGCAGTTCCTGTTATAAATTAAGGTTTATAAATTAAAAGGTTATAATTTAAAAGGTTATAAATTTTATTGTTTTTTTTATATGTTTTTCTTCCATAGTATGAAATTAATCTTTTGGAGTTGATTCAGAGAAGAAGAACTGTAAGTAGATATTCTGGAAATTGGAAAAAATTTAGATTAGGTAGTGTGGCTCTATAGCTAGAACTTGGGTTTGGGAAGCAGTTGGCACTGATAAATTGTGTGGTGCTGTGTTCATAATGGGTGTTTGTAATCATTTGTTTTCTTTATCAGCACCTTTTTAAAAATATTTATTTATTTAGAGAGAGTGCACGCAAGTGGGAAAGGGCAGAGAGAGAGGGAAAGAGAATCTAAGGAGGCTCCACACTGTTGGCACAGAGCCTGATGCGAGGCTTGATTTCAACCAACCGTTAGACGATGACCTGAGTGGAAATCGAGAGTCAGACGCCCAACTGACTGGGCCATCTAGGCACCCCTATCAGTACAGTTTAAGATCAAGTAGGAATGTTGTTATGGATAAATGTGATTAAATTGAGGCTTTGTTTTTTTTTTTTAATGTCACCTTTAAGCGCATCGGGTATTCATTTAAGAAGGATGAGATTGAGAATTCTATCGTACACCGGGTACAAGGTGTCTTCCGGCGTGCTTCAGCAAAATGGAAAGTAAGTGATCAGAGCATCTTTAATTATAAGAGATGTGAAGAGATGTATTATATGTATTGTGTTTCAGTATTCAAATGTATTGTTTATTCTTGGGTGTCTCAATATTTAACCTAATAATGGTATTATTTGAAACCACTTATCAAACCGTGAAGAAAATTGATCTCATTACCTTATAGTTCTTCTTTGAGGATGGCACTGAAAAAGGTGGATTCGATACATGGTTAAGGATTAGAAATTTGGGATGTATGGATAAATCTCTAAGTGAAGAACACTGAAGACTTGGAGGGGAAGATAAATGGTTAGAGTAGGGGCAGCACCTCACTAACTTGATGTTCTTCAAGTTGGGCTCTGGGACTGGGAGTACTTTAGATCCTGGGAATGACAAATTTGGGGTTGCTACCCCTGATTGAGACCAGTTAAGAACTGCATTGAGCAAGGGGCGCCTAGATGGCTCTGTCTGTTAAGCATAATTCAGGTTATAATCTTGCGGTTTGTGAGTTTGAGCCCCATGTCAGGCTGTGTGCTGATAGCATGGAGCCTGCTTTGAATTCACATTCTCTCTTTCTCTCTCTCCGCCCTTCTCCTGTTCTTCTCTCTCAAAAATAAATTAAATAAAATATTTTAAAAAAGAAAACAAAGGGCGCCTAGGTGGCTCAGTTGGTTAAATGTTTGACTTCAGCTCAGGTCATGATCTTGCGGTTCGTGAGTTCGAGCCTCACATCAGGCTCTCTGCTATCAGCATGGAGCCTGCTTTGGATCCTCTGTCTCCCGGCCCCCTCTGCCGCCGCCCCTCCCCCTCTCCCCTCACCATTAAATATAAATACACATTAAAGAAATGAAAACAAAACTGCATTGAGCAAATTGGATAGACAACAAATTTTGTCTTGGAGCATGGTAGGTGAGAACGGGTGGCCAGATGGAGTTAACACATTTAAGAGATCTAAGACCTCAGTGAGTAACAGCCTAATAGGCTGAGCAATGTATAATACATTGGCTTTCCTGAAATTTACCTCTCTTTCTAAAAAAAGTTAATTAGTGCAAAAGTGTATTGTGTATTAAGTTCAAATTCGAGCAGCTTACTACATTGCTTTTCTTGCAGGATGATGTTCAACTTTGGCTATCCTATATAGTCTTTTGTAAGAAATGGGTGAGTATTGCGCAGTTGTGTCTTGCTTCCTTGTTCTTTTAGTAAGTCTGCCTTTTAAGCTCTGTGCTTGAGTACTGAACTCCATGTTTTCTCCAAAGTTGTGGGGTTAGTAAATCGGAAAAGACTCCAAGAAGGCTGAACTTCAGTGTAACAACATGTGCATATCTGAAGACTATATAAATGGTTTCTAAGTCAGAAGATGATCTTTGTTGTGTGTATTTATTTAGTAAAGTTAGATTTGTTTAGATACTTAGAATGTTTGCATGTAGTGGTTTAGGTAGAAAAAACTATGAGTGTGTCTATATTTGTTTCTATGTCCCTACAAGAGCATATCTTGCCCCATTGAATTTTGAGTTGGTAAGGAAACAGTACAGATCACTTAGAGATGACTAATAATGAGCTCAGTGTATAGGAAGTAGAATTGCTTTTTCTCTCTTACAGGCCACCAAAGCTCAACTTAGCAAGGTATTTTCTGCCATGTTGGCCATTCATTCAAACAAGCCAGGTATGGTGAGATCCTTGTCAGTTCTTCTACCTTTTATGTAGACTCAAGCTATTTTGGCATTTATTTTGCTTCATAAACTTAAAAGAAATTAGTTTGAGAACTTGAGCATAGGTACTAGGCCTCAGCAGTTCTGGTTTCTGAATAGCTGCCTCTTAGTTCATCCCTGTATATTGTGTATCATTTATTGTGTTGAGTATTGTATCTGTGGGTAAGAAGGACTAAATTTCTTTTTTATTTACTTATTTATTTACTTATTGATTTATTTATTTTAAAAAGTGTTTTATTCATTTATTTTTAAAGTATGTTTTACTTTATTTTATTGTTATTTTTAAAAATATGCTCTGTGTAGGGCGTCTGGTTGGCTCAGTACGTTAAACCTCCAACCTCGACCCAGCTCACGATCTCATGGTTTGTGAGTTCAAGCCCCATATCGATCTCTGCTGTCAGTGTGTAGCCTTTTTGGGATCCTCTGTCTCCCTCTTTCTGCCCCTCTCCTACTTTCTCTCAAAAATAAACATTAAAAGTTTAAAAAAAAGTTCTGCATGCAACATGAGACTTGAACTCATGACCCAGAGATTAAGAGTCACCTGCTCTACTGACTGAGCCAGCCTGGCACCCCACTAAGTTTCTTTTTAGATGATGATGAAAGAAACTCTTTGGTCCTTTGAGAGACATTCTGTTTGGATGTATTCACATTTAAGGGGCACTTAGACGGGAAAACTTAAAAACTTAAAGGGGAAAATGTTAACGCAGATTTTGCAAGCGTGCCTGGCACATATTAGGTACTCATGTTTTGTAAGAGAAAGACTTCTCTTGTGAATACTGTGTGAAATAGCACATAATTTTATAGGGGAGGTACTCCAGTGCCTATTCTCAAGTATTAAGCTCAACCAGGTTCATGCTACACAGGCTAAGATAGGCCACATTTGGCACCAGTTAATTCACCAGAGGCTACAGCATTAGGTGAGAGTCTTTAGTAGAGTACTCTTAGCAATTTGGAGGCCAGTCCTTGGTCCCCAAGATGACAGTTCAGGTGTGAGGGAATGAGACCATGTGAATGGGTAGAGGAACAGCTCTGATTTAGAAGTCCTGTGGATGGGCACAGCTTCCAGGGATCCTAGAAAGGACTGTGCTCGATTTCAGGAGTCACATGCTCAGGAAAGCCCAAAGCAGTCGCGCTCTCTCATTAATAACCCTTCTAGTCCAGACGTGGTTACTAACCATGAGTCATTTTTACCGAAGGCAGTCTTGTCTGGTAACATAGCTGACTTTTATTAAGTTTCTAGGGAAATAGCTGGAATGTTAACTCGACGTTGATTTCCTGTGTAGAAAGACAAAGGTTTTTGTTTTTAAAGCCTTTATTCCCAACAGGTGTGATAAAAATTTTATTTTTAATGTTGAGCCATTCAAAAGAAATTATAAACTACTTAAATAAAGAAAAAGAGTGAAATATTTTTATTTCATGGATTCTAAGATGCACAATTTCTTCCAGTATTTTTATAGTTCTAAAGTTTATGTGTGACTTATAGGGATGTTGATCTTAGATTGAATGAGGCACATAAGTACCCACAGATATTATCATTTGCCTCTTCGCTTCAGAATATTCTAATTTTTATTTATTTATTTTTATTTTATTTAAAGTTTATTTTGAGAGAGACAGTACACATAAGCATGCGGGAGAGGCAGAGAGACAGGGAGAGAGAGAATCCCAAGCAGGCTCTGTGCTATCAGCTCAGAGCCTGACACGGGGCTTGAACCCATGAACTGTGAGATCATGACCTGAGCTGAAATCAATACTGGGATACTTAACACACTGAGCCACCCAGGTGCCCCAGAATACTCTAATTTTAGGTAAAGCAGCAATACTTTACAAATAACCATTGAAATTCCCTCTCTCCATCCCTTTCCTCTTTTGGGAAGATTAAAAAAAAATTCTTTGAGTATTAAAATTGGAGCATTGATCTTTTTTTTTTAGTCTGACTTGATTGATTTATTGAAATGAAGTCTGATGTTTTTTATTTATATAGCTTTGTGGATTATGGCAGCCAAATGGGAAATGGAAGATCGCTTATCTTCAGAAAGTGCAAGACAACTATTTCTTCGAGCTCTGCGCTTTCATCCAGAGTGCCCAAAACTTTATCAAGAAGTGAGTTGTGTACCTGTAAGGTGAAAGAGTGATGTCTCAGTTTTGGTCCTCTGTAGACTTACATTCTTGATTAAGTTAAAAAGACTTGGATTTGTGGAGGCTAGGGATAAGTAGAGGAGCTGCTGGAAAAGGAGAGCGGCGAAGCTGTTTCTTGGCCAGTATTAGGTGTGTTGACCATGTGCATCTTCCAGGTTGTTAGTGAGAGATTAGAACTCTTACTGCCCATTATGGTTGGGAGGGGTGGGGAACTGCACCCTACCTATTTTCGTTGTGGGGCCAGGGTTCAGCCATCTTTATACCTTTGTTGTTTTTTCCCTTGCATCTACCTTCCCTACTTCTTATCTTCTTTCTCTCCTTCCTTTCTCTCTCTTTTTCTATCTTCTTCTTTTGGCTTTTCATTTTTCCCCACTTATTCTTATTGTCTCTTTTTTCTTGAGATATATCCCTCCTTCCCCTCTTGCTGGACTTAACGCCTTAGAGGGAGGCACTAGAACAGTGATGGCCAGACTTTCAATTAAGAAAAAAACAAGTGCTAAAAATGGTGTATTATTAGAAGCTGCCCTTTTTTGAGGTATTTGTCAGGATAAGGGAGAAACTACTGTCTTGTCTTCAATTGAAAATGAAGCCTTACTTGATGGAAAAAGATGTGGGTCTTTTTTTTTTTTTTTTAATTTTTTTTTTTTTATGTTTATTTTTGAGAGAGATACAGAGCGCTAGCAGGAGAGGGGTAGAGAGAAAGGGAGACACAGAATCTGAAGCAGGCTCCAGGCTCTGAGCTGTCAGCATAGAACCCAGCGCGGGGCTCGAACTCATGAACCACTAGATCATGACCTGAGCCAAAGTCAGATGCTTAACTGACTGAGCCACCCAG